CCTGCCAGGCATTGTTAGGGGGTTAAGTTTCCAGCCCCTGTGTAACCACTTTGTGACCAGCAGACACAGAACTTGGAGCTGCCAGCACAGGTCCCTCAGCTCTCTGGGGACTTCCCAGGCAGGGAGGAAGCTGGTGGCTTTGTGCCCAGCTTGCTATGGTGCAGAGTGTTGTGCTAGGTTGATTCCTACCCAAACTCCTGAAAAATGTAATTAGAGGTCTGGGGGAAGGAAACAGAGACTTTTTTTTGCACTCACACCTTTTTCTGCAGTGCAGTTTTGATTCAGGCAAAAGAGAACCCAGTTCCTGCAGTGGGATTTGCATGTGTGTTGTACACTGAGACAGCTGAAGCTGTGAGCAAAAAGCACGCATAAATAAAGGCTTCCTCCCTGTGCTTTATATAATCAGAGTGGGTGATGTCATTGGGAGCTGGAGAGGAGAGCAGGCTGTGAAATTACAGCCCTCTGCAGCCAGACAGAGCCAAGTGCAAGGGGGGGCTGCACAAAGCAAGAGCCAGGCTTCCCTCTGATACAGGCTCAGGACAGAGGACCTTGGAGGGGGGCTGGGGGGTAGAAGTAGATAATCCAGATGCAGTCAGATAATCCAAATGGCACAGTCACAGAGGGAAAGTAGGGAAAGCAGCAGGTGAGGAGCCATTGAGCAGCACTGAGGCTGCCATTTCAAGGGCCAGTACTCCCTTCCTCCACATGCAGCCTTCTACAGATTATGGATCTGCTGGAAGGGCTGTGGGACTGCTGGGCTTTTTCATCCTCCTTCTGCTTCAGTCTCCTGGCCCATTGCAGCTCCTGGCAGAGAAGAGAGGGCATCCTTGCCCTGCTTGCCCTCCACATCCCAGAGAAACTTGCTTCTAGTTTCTTCCTGGCCCCAGAGGAAGGAGCACAAGTAACAGAGGGGCTCTGTCTTAGCCAGAGTGGCCAGGTGACACAAGATAAAGGGTGATCCTCAGCTCTTTGTGACAGGGCTTCTGTTTGGCTCTGGGTTTCAGAAACCTCTCAGGAGTTTTACTCCTTTTTTGGTCATCCCAATGCCCCCCCCAGTATGGGAATCTCTAATAGGAGTTTTCCCTCTCATCAAGCTGAGCAGGAAGAGGGGACTAGACTCATCCCTTGGGGAAGTGGAGAGCTCCCTTCTTTCAAATCCTTCACAGATTTCTCTTTCAACACATCAAGCATCTACAGTGTGCTCAGAATGCTGCTGTGAGAGCCTGATTTTCTCCCAGTTTAACAGAAGGAAGGGCTCCAGCTTTTCCCATCTCCCCTGCAGCTAGCATGCAAAAACTTTGGCCTCTGCTGAAACTGGAATTCTCCTTCTGTCATCCTCTGTCTTCCTCAGAATCAAGAGAGCAAGAGGCAGCAGTCCTTTGCAGCAATCCTGCCTTGTTTCTCTGTTATATAACAATATGGGCTTTTAGACTTGTTTTCCTAGATATTGGCAGTTGCGTCAAATATTGGCATAATCCAGTGGTTTACATGGAAAGCCGTCTGGCTCTGTCTGGAGGCTGCACAATGCTGGTATTTGCATTGAAAACAAGAGCCTGCAGCATTGTCAAAACCCGTTCCAACAGAGTCCAGGTAAACAAGGGGAAAAGACACTGGCATCATGGCCTGACCTGTGGAATTACAGCTGCCCTGGGGCAGCTCCAGGACTTGATAAGAAAGATTAATGGCTTTGCAATTGCTTTCTCTCTGAAACGGTCTTTTAGCTAAGTCTTCTGTGATGGCTTTCAAAGAATCACAAAATCATTTAGGTTGGAAAAGACTTTCAAGACCATCAAGTTCTGCCTTTGACCGATCACCATTTGTCAGCTAGACCATAGCCCTCTGTGCAACATCTAGTTCAGTGAGCAGTGACTCCATCTCCTCCCAGGGCTCTGGAGTTTTATTTCTGATGCACCCATCAGTCTGTCAGCCCTGCAGTGTGTGCTCTGTGATTTAAGAACCCATCATGGTCCACTGGGGCTGTTGGAAGTTGAGAGGTCAGGGACTGTGATTGGGTTAGATTTTAAAAATAAAAAGGTAAGGAAGCTGCAGAGGGGTAACAGCTGAGGAAGTTGTTTAGTTGGATCTTTCTGAAGGAAAGCAATGTGCTCACATGCCAGGACAGTTTGCAGGCTTGGTTGCTCCTTCCCATCCCAGTGTGGCTCAGCTTGAAGCGTGAAATAGGGGAAAATCCAGTGGCAGCACAGAAGAAATAGCTTTGGTCAAACCTTTTTGCAACCTGCCTTAGCTCAGCCAACACCACCTGCCCCTGCAGTGTGCTTGCAGCCCGAGCCGTGCTATGTGCCCTTGTGAGCTTATCAGCTCATACCACGCTCCTGTCCCAGGCAGGTGGCCCCTCCTGATGCCTGGTGTGCTGGCACAGGCCATCGCCCCTGCTGCAGGCCACAGCCTTTGGCCAGCAGCCAGCAGAGCCAGGGGCAGGAGTGGCTTCTCTGAAAACGGTCTGCATGAGCCTGGGACAAGCAGTAACCTTCTCCACTCGACTGTAGTCCTGAGGCACAATGGGAAAGTTTTCAAGTGTCCGGGGTTTTATTACATGTCTGAACCTTTGCCTGTAGCTTTCAGGTGCTTAACAGGGACGATGTTGTTCAGTCTGCACATAACCCAGCTTTTGACGTGGCACATCAGTGCCACCCTTTTGATTGCTGTCTCAGCAATCCAGCCACTGCTTGCTCCTGTCTGAAGCTGATCACTGGTTCCAGGAATTGCAGTTCCTGGTGCAGCACCTTCCCAGTTCCTGGTAAAACACAGTGCTGAGAATCAGCGCAAAGCTCAGGCTGTAGATGTGTTGTCCATTTCTCTCTGCATTCGCGAGTGGACTGTGATGTCTTTGCCATTGATTCCCCAAACTTTTTTTTCCTGTTACACAAATAATTCAATTTTCACCATGGGCTGGGAGCTGCCTCCAGGTCTGTGGTACCTGCCTGTAGCAGATGCTGTGTAGCAGTCTGCTGTTAGGTGCAGCCCCCAGGTCTGAGCTCTGCTACATGAGTGTTTTGAACTTGGGCTGATCTGTGGGTGAAGTGTGTGGCTGGAGCTGGTTGATACTTGTGCTGTGAGGAAACACATGTGCTCTGTGCTGCAGCTTGATGGCTGTGCTCTGACAGCTGTGACTCAGTGACTTGCCTGTGTGGCCATTCCGGAAGTCTGTGCTGTATCCAAAAATTGGTTTCGAACCCCAGAAGGTCTTTGACCGCAAGATCCTGCTCTGCTTCATTTCTGTGCAAGGAGTCAGTGTCCAGCCTCCCGAGGGATGACACGAACTGCAGTGCCAGTGTGAGCCAGCAATACTTCTTCATTGCTTACCCTTTTGGTCATCATGGGACACAGGGCAAACACCTGTAGTGGGTGCACTCCTGACCAAGATCTGTGTTGAAAACTGGCTTCCAGGTAGAAAAACATCCCCCCCATGTCAGCCATATGGGTTTAATGACAATGGGGTTTGCCCTAGAGCAACTTAAGGAGTAAGAGATGAGATTGATGTGATTACTGTTCTTTCAGTTTGATTTTTGGATTATGATTTCCCTTTCCCCACCCCTGTATTTGTTAATGTTTAATGGAGAACATGCTTTCTTCAAGGCTCTTGCTGGTAATATGCAGCCCTGTGTCTGTTATTGAAACAGAATGATGAACCCTTCCTAAAGAGATTTATGGTAGAAACTGTGAGGAGCTCACAGTTACAGCATGACCAGTGAACACTCCCCTGTGCTGACAGTTCATCAGCAAAACCCCTGACCCTTCCACCCTTAATCATCCTTGCTTGTCACTGACATAATTGCCTGATTACAGACTCCTCTCCCCCACCCCTTTCAAACTGGGTGCAATAGTGCATTTGAAAAACAAATGGAAATGAACTGTCTCTGCTCTTTTTTTCTTTCTTTTTTTTTTTCCTTCCCCTGCATTGAGACGGATCAGGCTAAGATTCAGTTTCTTTGTGCATGAGCAGGGACTGGGATAGGCTTTCAGGAGTCTTTTGCACTGGTGTTTCTTGCTTGTGAATGGTAAAGCTGATGTCATTGTCTTATTGATTGGGATGACAACTTTGGACATAAATCATTAATGTCTGGGAAACAGGGAGGAGAAAAAGGCAACTCATACTCGATAATTTTCCATAAATCTGCTGTTCATCCCTGCATATGTGATCTAGAGGAGGAGACAGTGGGAAGTTTTCCTCTGCAGCATGAGGACAATGTGCATTGCCACTGCTGCCTGAACCTTTTACCCCAGAACATGTTGCCATATTCTGCAGAAAAAGGATCACATCACCAGCAGTGCTGTTGTGCTGGAGCCTGTCTTTGTAGATGTGAGCCAAGGTCAGAAGTCTGACCAGGGGAAGGGCTTGGGTTCTCTCATTCCCACAGACCTTGCACCCCTAGCAGCATTTCAGACCTGGGCCCAGGAAGGAATAACAGCACAGTCCTTGGGAACTACTATGCCTCTCACTCCTTGAATTGCCACCAGGGATTGTTTCAGAGTTTTTAGCTGACCTTTTTTTTTCATTGATGATCTTAATTTCATGCAAAAAGAAGGTGTTCAGGTCAGTTCATAGCAAATGTCCCTGACCTAGCAATAAACAAGCATGCAGGGGGTAGCAGTCATTCAAAACTGCTTTCACAGAAGTTCTTCTCAGCAAAATAGATAGCAAATAGGTCAGAGAGAGTGGAAATCCATGAGATACTTTTACCATTTTCCTATGTGCCTTTGCCCCAGCACACAGTTCATCCAGATGGGTCAGATTATCAGTTCAGACAGAAAGAAAATAAACAGTGTCTGTCAGAGGTTAGCAATAATGAAAGTATTGGTGAGCAGCTGATGTTTGAAGTGTAAATAGTTCAGCGGCAGTCTGTGCTGGTACCTAAGGGGAATTTTGTGATGTGTGGAAACAAGGAAGCCTGAAAACCACCTGGTAGGGTGGCAGAAGTGAAAGAAATGACATTCCCTTGCAGAAAGCATGGCTCTGATCCTCCTGTTCTCCCTTGCAGCCGAGCTCACCTCCGCCTGTGTCTAGAACGCTTAAAAGTTCTGATACCGCTCGGACCAGACTGCACCCGGCACACCACGCTTGGGCTGCTCAACAAAGCCAAAGCACATATCAAGGTAAGAGCTGCCTTTCCCTGCTGCTTTCAGCGTGGGCTCTTGGGAAGTGCAATGCAATTGCTCATCCTTGCTGCCTAGAGCCAACTCTGTTGAAGGAAACAGAGTTTTGACACTGTTAATAAATAAATAAATATAAAGAGCAAGCAAACCTTGCCCCCTTGGTTAGCCATTAATCATTGCCACGAGCCCTATTGTTGGAAGAGTCCATAATGAACTCCTTAACTACAAAAATGATGGATCTGAAGAGCAAGGATCTTGTTCTGTATTGTGATCATTTGTTGACAGCTGCATTTCTTTAAAGAAAAACATACTTACTGCTGAGTGACTGCATTTTGATGGGAAATGCAGCTTTTTTTCTGGTATGCTACTGAGTTTCCACTGCTGAAGCATTAGCACAAACCACAAGACTGTGAGACAGGTTTGGCTTGCTGGAGTTCCATGTGTGAACCTTCCAGCTAGCCCAGTGCTCTTCCAGCTCCACTTTTGGCAAAGCAAGACATGAAAAGAAAATGCAGCATTGTCAGTATCTGGGAGAGGCTGAAATACTTCATTGCAGGTCAGGATATAGAGAGGGAAGACGGGTGATGAGGGAGGAAAAGTGCTGCCAAAGGGACAGAGTTAACCTGAAATGACTCCTCCTTATGCAATGTGCTTGTTGTAGGAAACAAAGAACAGTGCCCTGGTAGATTTCCCAGCTGTGATCAAAGAAATCTGTAATAGGTTATGTAAATCACTCACTGAATAGAAAACTGTTTCTGAGAAATCCTTCTAAACCATGCAGTAAGGAACACAGAACTCCCGGGCCACGTTTTTATGTTGGAGCAGCTCGTAGGAAACCCTGGAGTGGATTGGTTTGGGGGTTTGAGGCCCCTGCGTGGGCAGAAGCGGTAATGCAGTGTCCGATCCCGGGCAGAGGGACCCACAGACTGCTGCAATCCACAGCGTTTCCCCTGGAGAGGCTCGGTCCTCAGAGACCCTTTGAACTAATGGGTATGATTTATCAGCACCTGAGAGCTGGAAAGATGTGGGCAGAGGGCATTGTGCTTGGAGACTATGAGGCAGCTTGGTTCAGGACACTTGTAGCTTGAATCCTTCTGGGACTGGGAAGGTCTAAGCAAGGCAGATGGCAGGGCAGTGGAGGTGGGAGGGAAGGAGAAAAGGATAAAAGCAATTACTGAGTTATATGTGATCATGTCAGAAACTTGAAGAGGCTGAGAGGAGAAGCCAACACCAGCTTGAGAACCTGGAACGAGAACAAAGATTCCTAAAGAGAAGACTGGAACAACTACAGGGTCCTCAGGAGATAGAGCGAATACGAATGGACAGCATTGGATCTACCATTTCCTCGGATCACTCGGACTCGGAGCGAGGTGGGTGTTGCTGAACCAGCATGGAACTGTCAGGACTCTGAAGTGAGAGAATGAGATTCATCCATTTCTTATCTTTCAGTCTCCCCTTCGCATGGCCTTTGGTGTTTAGGTTGCTGATTCTGCTCACACGCAGGCACATACATATGGAAAGTTTAGTATTTTGCATGAGTTCTAAGTCTGGAAGAATTGTTGTTGCTGTCAACTTGATCTGATTTCCGTGGTATTGAAAGAGATGGTAAAGTTGAGATGCTCATTGTGATTTTTGGTCTGCTGAATCTTGGCAACACAAAGAGGAAAATGTAAGAAGATATTAATGAGACTGGAACCGATGTCTCACACACCTATCACCCAGCCCCCCTACCAAACTTCCCATTGAGTTCACCTCTTCAGTCAAAACTGGCTAGATATATCTGCATGGCTAACTGAATTAAGATAACTTCCTTTTAAAAAATATCCCTGCAGTGGACAGAACATTAGGCACAATAGATGGTTTGATATTTACTGACAGACCGGAAAATGATGGATAGTTTGGATGTAAGTCTGTAGTTTAAAACAAGAATCCTTTGGAAAATTCCTGGAACAATATGGGAACCAAGATATCTGGTTAATTAGATCTTTGCTTTTTAAGTCTTTCTTAAAAACAAGATGTCTGTTTCAAAATCCATTGAACATGTGTGAGAGTAACCCAGATTGCCATGGTAATTCATTAAAATTGTGTGTGGTCCTGGCTTTGGCAATATAATGTCAAGCAACTAGCATGTTTGGGGTTAACTTCATGCTCCATTTTCTCTCTTGCACTCAATTTTGTCTGTTTCTTCTTTTTTTCTATGGGGTATTAGAGATCCAAAGAAAGAGGTAGTGGGACAAGCTCGGGTGTGTGGGGTGGCTCAACTACACTGACAGTGTGGCTGGCATATGAAGAGTGAAGCCCCTTTGCCAAATCCCTACAAAAGCCTCCGAGCTGGTAATAGTCTTTTTATAAATAATGACCACAGCCTGTCCCATTCCAGGGGAGACCTGCCAGATGACCACTTCAGTCCTTGTGTTGGGGAGTCCCAGGAGCTCAGTGGCATGAAGGGGGCAGTTGGGTGTGTGGTGCTAACCTGTGTGCATTTCTCTCATTTCCCTTTCTAGAAGAGATTGAAGTGGACGTTGAAAGCACAGAGTTCTCCCATGGAGAAGTGGACAATATCAGCACAACCAGCATCAGTGACATTGATGATCACAGCAGCTTGCAGAGTATTGGGAGTGATGAGGGTTACTCCAGCGCCAGTGTCAAGCTCTCATTTGCTTCCTAGAACCAAGTGAGACAACAGTGCAGGGTGAATGATTTCACTGGGATGATCAAACTGGGTCCTAGATGCCAGTATCCTCTTTCAGAATTGACATATTGACAGCTAGGCCTGGAGAGACCTGTATATAAAGCTTTTTGGGTAAAGGAAGCCTCCCCAGAAACCCATATTTGTCCATTTGGTCATGTTACCAATCCCAATTTCTGCTGGCAAAAAGTTAGGCCAAATACTAATCCCTTTGCAGTCAATGAAATCCGTTTGTTTCTGTGGGACCTGGATCTAGACCTTAGTGATGAAAAACTTTGTTTTGAATTTATTTGAAATTGTTTGAAAGAGGATACTAGAGACTCATCCCTCTCTTTCTGTCATGAGATCTGAGAAATGTCAAAATTTCTTACACTGCATTCAGATTGAACAAGCTAATTTAAGCCCTTCTGAAGAGCTTTTGTGGTCCTGAAAGGACTGTATCCTACAGTTTACCACAATCTAATGCTGTCACAAATTGCTAGAAATCTAAGAAGGCTTACGTAGCCTAGGAATAACAGTGACAATAATGATTAAGGTCTCATTCTGTGCCCAGAGGGAGAGGGTCAGCGATGTTCAGGGGAGAACACCATTCAACTCAGCTTTCTGTTGGACATCATTTAAACAGTGAGTACCTCTGAAGCGTGGCTAAAGCGAGAGGTACACACCTGTAATCTACCAGCACAGGGTGGGCTGTCAGGCCTGGGGCTGTGCCAGCGCCAGCAGATCCCGGTAGATGTGTGCCCCTCGCAGGCACACGGCCAGCTGAGGGCAGAACGAAACCAGCACTCGAGAGGTGACACACCAGACAGTCATGCCCAGATACTGAGCCACTATGACCTTTTTATTTGAAGTGATTTTTTGATAAACATTTGTAAATGTGTTGGGAGGGAAAACACCCCAAGTCTGATGCATCTTTTTAGAGCTTGTCCATATGAAACCTTAGATGTCTTTTATATGAATTTATGCCATGAAAAGATCTCTGTTTTGATGAAGCACTTGACCCAATGAGATGCAAAGATCCTTTTTTTGCCATGCACACAATGGATGAAGGCTGTGCTAAGCTGGAAGAGGCCAGGTTTGGTGGGGGTTTCTTCAGTTTTCTTTTTAGAATCATTCCCTTTGCTGACTTTTGAAGTTCCAGTCCAGTAGTTAACCTAGTTAAGCTCAGCACGTCTCTCATGTTAATGTAACGTTTTGACTGCACGTCCTGTTCCCAAGGGCCTTGCCATCTTATCTGTGCAGGTGCTGTTAAGAGCTGTTATAGCAAATGTTTTCTAATTTTCTCCAAGACAAGCATTCTAACCTGCACTTTGAGGGCTTTGCTTTTTTATTTTTGTCTTTTTAATGGCCAGGATTATTTTGTTTTCCAAGTTTTAAAAACCTTAATAGAGTCTTCACCTATGGCATTGTTTGAAACTTTGTATATCCTTAAGTAATTTAATTACCCCTCATTACTAAGAAAAAAAGAGGAAAAAATGCTTTATAAAATTCATAACTTATTGCTGATTTGAATGGGTTGTTAATTTCAGTCCTTTAGATTTTATTTTATTGTTTTAGATAGGATTGGGGAAAAAGAGGTAAAATAAAGTAAAAAAATAAAGACAACCATATTTAGCAGTGCAGTGGAATTGTGTTTAAATGTTAGCATATGGTCCCCATTAAAGTAGCACTTTAACGCCATTAAACATTTCTGTATCTGAAATGAGTTGTGTTCTTCCATCTTGGTCATTCCTGTCACTTCAGCCAACTGCTGTTCTTCTTGTGCCCTTTGGTCCTGCAGTGACATCCCGAGCAAGTCTCATGTAGAGTTCAGCACTGTGATAACTTGCCTGTGTTTAAATACTCTGATCTTTCCCCCACTCTCCAAAATGTGTCATTCATGTGTCAAGAGGCACAACACACATGCTTGAGTAGAGATACAATCTTTCCATGGCTGTAATGAATCATTTCTCTCCAGTCCAGGTATTTTTAAATTAATTTGCTTACTAAGTTTGCATCCGGTTGCAGTTGTTAAACGTGTTTTCACTTGTGTGCATGTAATCCAGTGTCTCAGTCCATCTGTTCTTCTTTCTGGGAGGTTACCTGGCAGGAGCAGGAGTCTGCCACAGAGTGAATTAAGCTCTAGGTTACAAATGGAGCCCAAGGGCTTTGAAAGAAAATCTGCTGCTTGGATTTACATTTGGGGTCTATATGATCTCTGAATGATACAAGGCTTGAAACAGTCTGTAGAGTGGTGAAAAGTAGGAAACTTCTGCATGGCATCACTTATTTATTATTCTCCTTGGAAGTGTTGACCACTGGCAGTTCTGGGGCTGAGCAGTTGGATACCAGTTGGATTTATTTATTTATGAGCCCTTTTCCATAGCTGTCCAAGCACCACCTTTTTCCTGTTATTTCTGTTTGTGTTAAATGCCCACTTGGGAAAGCAGTACAACAGCTGAGAAGCACTGAAGCTCAAGGGATGGAAAATGGCTGTGCTCTCCTAGTTGGTATAAAACAGTGACATCTCTATGGTTGGAATAAATGCATTTGAAATGTTTGTTGTAATGCTCTGGGAAGTTTGGTATCTCCTACCTTTCTAGTGTTGTGGTCTCAAAGGGGTTCTGATCTCAAGTGCAAGTAAATGGGGAACATGTCACAGGAGATGAGCTTCCATCACCAGCCACCTGCCTGACTGCTCAGCCAGCAGCAGTGGTCCAGCCAGGAGGAGGTCGAGGAAGAAAACAAAACTAAGAACCTTTCTAATAACTCCAAAGACCTGGGGTTGGTTGCTCTGGTCCTGGTGGGTTCTTTGTAGCAGATCCTAGCAGATTTCAGCTAGAGTTTTGATAATTTCTTATGCGATGGAAACATTTCTCTGGCCTTTCAAAGTTGTCCTGTCCTGCTTTATTTTTGCTTTGGGGACTCTGCCTTTTCTCACCTCACACAGCTGCCGTCCTCCTCAAATCTCCCTTCACTCTTCTGATCTCTTGTGTTGCAGCGATCAAGATGACAAATTTTTAGAGAAGTTGCTATAATTTTACAAGAATATGGTGACTTTTCCTGTAAAAGCAGAATGGATGCACTTTCCTGAGGCAGCTTTCCCATGCAATAGGCACGCATGCACACGCACGCACAGCTGCCTCATAAGCTCATTCTGTCAAGTCCTCCCTCTGTAAATTAGATCCCCAGTGGGTCTCTTTGCTACAGACAAACCCATTAAAAAGACCATCCAGCATTTTCCTTCTTTTGACACAAGTGTATTATGGAATGTCATCTCGTGTCTGCAGACAAGGTGGCGATGACTATCTGGCTGCATTTGTCACGGTTATCCTGTGGCGAGTTGTCACTTGAAGGTCATTTTAATGTCTGTTCCATTAGCAGCATGTCAGTGACGAAGGTGGTCTCACATCTGTCTGTCTCAAGAAATCTGTAGGTCAATAGAAAGGGGGTTAACTAGACAGACTTATCATTTTCTGGGGTTGGTGATTGTGTTTTCCTTTTGTCTGTTTGTTTGCTACCATCTGTTTGTGAGCTCCAGCCTCCTGCTTTTCTGCTTTGTTCTCTTGTACTCGCTGTTCCCTGTTTGTTGTGTTGCCCTGTGGGAAATGGGTGAAACATTTGGCTTCAGTGGAAGTGGGATCCATTGGGTGCCCTAACTGGAGGTAGTTGTTCTCTTTCCTCCCCACCCAGCTTTTCTTGTGGCATTTTTTCTGGCACCAAACATGCATCATTGGAGAGAGAAATCAAGGTCACTTCCTGGAAGAGAATGGTAAAAAACAGGACTTCATTCTGAGGTTAGGGAGGTGATAACAATGAAAAGCTCTATAAAAGCAGAATAAAGTCCAATTTTTTTTTTTTCCCTGGAGCTTTCTCCCATGGACACGTTGTCCAGTGAGTGAGAAATTCCGTGACTTGATAGTGACTGAAATTCCTCTGCGTCAGCAATGCAATCTCTGAATTGTCCTGTGGGACCCTCGGGGAAGAGGAGTATGTCCTTCTGCTCCTGTTTCCCGGTCCGCACAAAATTCCTAGAAAAACTGATGTGCTGTCACATCTTCTTGAAATGTGCCAAGAAATCTGAATGACATTTGGGAGGATGAATACAGGAGAATGGTGTCTGCACAGACAAAAGTTTTCATTTCACTGAAAGGCAGGTTGTTTAACTGGGAATAATACATCAGCACTGGCCTCTGCTTCTCTGCTCATTTCCTCCTGCAAAGAGGACTGATCCGTGTAGTGGTTGGGCAGAGGCAGGAACTGGGAGTCTGTGGGTACTGGTGTTGTGGCTGTGGTACTCAAACCTTTTATGGGGGCCTCTGTTTGGGGTGCTATTAAAACTAGAGCTGTCTCACAACATGCATGTGTTGAGATCCCTTCAAAAATGTCAAGGATCAGGGATTGCTGAGCAGCCTTTGAGGAGAGTGGATGTGTTCTTTGAGGTGTGGGCTCAGATGAAGCTAAACAGTTGAGTCACATGGTGCTGCTGGCCTGGCTGATGCAGGTCAAAGGTGTGAAATGTAATTTATTTTGGGAGAGATCTTCAACATTAGCCATGCTGTAGAAGCTGTGGGTAGCAATTTATTTTTATCACACTGGAAAAAATCAGCCCCTTGGTTTGAAGTACCTCAGTGAGGCCTGGAGCAAGTGGTGGGGTGAGCTGGGTAGTTTGGCCTTTAGCAAGTCATCCAACATCTTGGCTCGCAGACTGCTGTGCTGCAGACATGTGAGGAAGCTTTATTTTAATATAGCAAGGATACAGCTTCAGCAAGGATTAATTTTGATCTTGAGGGATGTTGCAGAAAAGCAGAATAAGCCATGAAGGAATTTAAAGCATTTTATGGTGGTTTTAATATTGTGGTTTCTAGTTAAAATATACACAGGCCTAGGCCATGACTTGGGCTACCAGTGCTCTTGTTAATGCTCCATTCTGCTAAGGTTAAGAAATTCTTTCAATTTAATCCCCTTTGAAAAATATTTCTCAAAACAATTGTTATGTATCTCCTCCTCCTGGAAGGCTTGATGGGGAAATACAAAAGCTCTTTTCTATCCCAGAGTGGTGGATAACTGTACAAAATAGTATCCATCACGCCAGGAAATACCAGTTTCAGCAGGTCAGTCAGACAGGTAAGGTGTAGAATGCAGCGTGACTCATATTCCTCATGGATAATGTCTCTTTGGGAAGTAGCAGCACCTTTCAGTCTAGGTGAGTGTCACAGCTGAGTCAGGGACAGGAACAAAGACCCTGGTCTTCAGGTGAAAAAGAAGCCTTTAATAGAAAATAGTGCATCTTTTATAACCCAACTCGCTAAGCTGAGACTTGATTGGTCTTTAAAGTTCACGCTATTGGTGAACTAAGAATACCACACTCTGGAAAATCATATCTATAAACAACCTGTGTTTTAATTATTTTCTCTTAAGTTTTCTCAAAGCTTTCTCACAGCTTCCCAGGAAAATCCTGGGAGAGATATGTCTCTCTCTGTTCAGAGGATATGTGATTACCACAGGTGAGAGCAAGGCCTTTTCAGTCAGCACCCACTGTGGGAAGGCTTTGCACTTCTGTACAGACCAAGGAGTTGTTGTGAGGTGAGTTCAGTATAGAAAGGGGATTGCTTTACAGAAAGAAGCAATGCAAGTGCTTTTATGTAGCAGAGCACTCAGCTTAAGACCAGAGCTGGCTTGGGTAGGTCGCACCATCATCCCATTGCAAATGTCCCTCCTTATTTTACCATCCAAGTGAAGGTTTTTAGAGCCCAGATAAAGATTGGATGAATTGCAATGCAAAGAGCAGCACCAGCTGCCAGGCAGTGATCCTTCTCTTGGTTCTGGGCCAGAAATGCTTTCCACAAACTCACTCTCCACATAACTTTTGCAGAGTGGTTGTTTCCCAAGACCCTGCCACAGGTGCAGGTGAGCAGAACCTCAAGGGGAGGCACAGAAGTTTGCTGTAGGTTTTGCCTTCTAAACATCTCCACTATTGAATTTTAGTCTTCTCAGGTAAAGTCCCTTTTTGCATTTAGAAACCTGTGAGACTGAGCAGCTACATAAAGAAGTGACACAGCACTCACTGGCTTTAGGGAAGTCAAAAGAGAAATGGATTGCCATGACCATAAAGAATTTCAGTTTGCTCCTGTTGAGACTTCTAAATACTTAAACCGACTGTGGTAATCCTAGATCCGAGTCAGGTTTATGCTGGTTAAATTTCCACAATGGGTTTCAGTTTGCACAGGACTGAGGCTGTACTAGATAAAAAGTAAGGCCTTATAAGAAATGGTTGGAAACATGCAGCCCATACTGGTCATTTTGCACAATACTCTTATTTGACAGGCACAAATCTCTATTCTCTGCCAAGTATCTCTTCCATCTCTATAGCTTGGGGGGTTTGAACTCCTTACTTTTACAGTAACTTTCCCTGTCATTTCAGTGCTTTTAAGTACTCCCTGCTTATAGCAGGATTTGATGGCACTGGGGTAGGTAATTTGTGTGCTAAGGCCCAATGCAGAGCATGAGTTCCCAGGCTTCTTGCTGTCTAGACCAGTTAACTGGAAAATAAATTGTAAAAAAACCCCCAACCAACTAAAACGCCATCACCTACATTTCAGGTCAACTCAGAATTTGTAATGTAAGGAATTTTTGTGTTTTGGCAATTACCAGCATTGCTTCACACAAGATTTATTTTTATTTCATTAATTTCTCAAGCCACTTTACTAAGGCTGTGTTCCAAAGCCAGATTACAATGAACTGGCCCATCCTGCAGATGAGGCAAGAGCACAAAATAGGAGTGGCTGTGTGGCCACCACAGCAGTTTTGGTGTGGCGGCTTTTTTGTTCACTTAAGTCACTCTCAGGAAGTTTTCTCTTGATAGATTGGACCACCCCAGGGCACAGTGATCTCACTGTTTCACTGATTCCAGGTAAGGTGTTTCAGGAAAAAGCCAATCAAAACTTTCAGCACTTCTTCACAGTGCCCAACAGAAGAGTTGCAGCAAAGTTCATGAGGCAGCCCCATTAACAAGAGGGGACAGTAAATTACTCAGTAGAAAGGTGTAAGTTTTGCTAAATTTTTTGAAAGGTTCAGCTAAAACAACTTGGGTTGGACTGTCCCTTGCAGGGGAGGCTCACACCACCCATTGTTCTGATAACTCACTCTATTGCTCTCCAGGGTTAGTGAACCAATAAATAGCCCTGGGATGGTCTATTGATTGTATTTATTACATTGAAGATAAGCAGATGTAGCTCATGTCAGGTATGAATTGAGCCTTCTTTTCCAAAGAACATTTTCTGTTAAAAGAACAGGTGGAATTCAGAATTGGCTTCCTGAAAACTGCAGTTCTGCCTGCTTTAGCATGTGTCAGTTCTGACTTCAAGATGCTCCTTTTGGGTAAGTGAAAGGGACACTGTATCACAGCCACCTGTGAAAGACGACAGGTGACCTTCAGCACTGAGCTGTCACTGTGGCACGACTGTCACCTAGTTACTGTCACTGCTGGGACATGTGCTTGTAGCTGCAGGCTGCAGTACAAACTCCCTTTCTAAAAAGCTGATTGTTTTACTCTTGTGA